GCATGTTTTAAGCATCAGCAACAGCGTGCATGTGCCTGTTAATGTGTCTCGGGAGGGCGGAGTAGAGAGTGGGGGTGGTCCTGAGCCTGACATCCTGAACGTGCAGTCAGGTGAGATTGTAGAAAATAGCCTTGCAAATGAATTCTAATGGCAGCAGATATTCGGACTCGGGGCATGGTGTGAAAAAGCTGTCCCTCCGAGTCTCTGACTTTTGCTTTGGACAGGTCTTAAAAGTCTTTTCTTCGCCGATCTTAAAGGCCAAGATGGTATATGACCATGTCACAAAGATATGATGTTGCAATGTTGGTGACGCACTTAAAACAAAGAACAATTATTTTGTACTGAATTCGAACTTTCACTGGGAGCCAATGTAGTTGAATTAGCATTGGTGTTACATGCTCATTGAGAGATTTCTTTAAAATTATGCGAGCAGCTCGGTTCTGGAGTCGCTATAACCTATATTTAACGTTTCAGTGGGAAGGTTTCCAAACAAAGAATTGCAGTAGTCCAGACAAGAAAGGACGAAAGAAGAAATGCGGGTTTTGATGGAATCAACACTAAGATATGTGGACATTTGTCCTATTCTGCGTAGTTCAAAACAAATTACTTTACATAGATGGTTTATATGATGGTGTATAGATAGTTTGCAGTCAAAATAAACACCTAGATTTTTCGCTTTATCTCTCAAAAAGATGTTATCATTCCCAATACATACATGGTCAAAATTGCAAAGCAATATCCCTGGTTTGGCATTGTAAAACAGAACTTCAGTCTTATCAACATTCATTTTAGGCCCTAAGTATATTTGATATCATCCAGTTTTTTAACATCAACAATACATTTTTCCATGCAGGTAACTAGACTGTCCTCAGAGAAAGTTGCATTTGAAAATAGCAAAGGTTGCAAAAAGTTGCAAGAAAAATTAGCAAAAGTTGCAAGAACAGTTGCAAGACGTGTATAGCTAAAACAATGCCACTGAACTATTGGAATATACTGTTGCTATGCTCATTGCAATAAAAAAAACAACCAATATTCAATATGAGTTTTGTTGGATCAAAATCAGAAGTTAAAGGTGAATGTTTACCCCTCCCAAAAAAAACACCAAAAAAAAAAAACTGCATGGAGGTTGCATGGTGTACAAAAACAGTTTGTCCCTGGCACATGCGTCAGGTCCTTAAACTCTTGCTGACATAGAGGTGTGACCAGCGTGGTTTTGGGGCTGTTCAAATATAATCTTACATTTTGTTTGGGACTTTTTACCACC